CACAGAATATATACTACCCTGCGTATTCTCTCTCTCGTTTTCTTTCTGTGTCTCTCTCTGTGTCCTCCTTTCCTTGTATTATACAAGTGTAGTTTCGATGTGAGTTTTGTTTTGGAGAGCTTACAATCTAGTTGTGGTTGGGAGAGGAAACAGATTTTTTAGAGGAATAAAACTATAAATTGTGATAAATATAGTCTGGATCCAGGAATAGGGCAGCTAAGAAGTGAAAGAAAGCACTTGGCATTTGGTGTGTCATTTCAAGTATGTCAGGGATTTCAGTGTGAAGATGTAGGGAGAGTGACATTCCAAGCAGAGGGAACTAAGTTAGCAAAAAGATGGAGTTTAGAAGGTAGGAGGAGGAAGAGCAAATTACTAGAAGCACTCAGTATTGAAGTGAAAGTGCCATGTAGCACAAATGTATGTTGTATATTAACCTTGAATATCAGGCTGAGATGCTTTAAGTTTCTAATTTCATTTTTATCTTAAAAAGAACTTTCACTGTAACAAGGAAACCTACATTCCTGGAAAGAATGTGTTTTTGTCATAACCCATATAATAACATTTATTTAATAAAGCTATGTACTTGTAACTGGGCTAGACATTACAGCAGCTACCCTCAAGAATCTTGCATTGTAGGGATAGAGACAGAGATATAAACAAAGAACTCTAAAACCATGTTCTAAATACCATTACCAAAATATACACAAGAAATAAGCCATCTGGAAAAGGGAAGTATTATTTCTGAAGGGCTTTGGGCAAGACTCATGGGGGAGTTCAACAAGGTAGGCCTTAAATGATGAAAAGAGTTGGCCAAATTTAGAAGTGGGAAGATAAGCTTTCCAAAAAGAGATAGAGGACAAAAGAGGACAAACTCCAGCCTAGTTAAAGATTGAGGGGGAACTTAGGAAATGGCAAAAAGCTCTGTGAAGCCGGTTACAGCAGATGGAAAGGGTGACAGGTGATAAGCTGGAAATGTGGGTTGGAGCCAGGTTGTAAAGGACACTGGAGACAGGGAGGAATCACTGCAGGTTGTAAGCAGGGAAATGGCATAAGAGGATGCAAGGGACTTAAAGAGTGGGTGGAGTCAAGTAGCCCAGTTACTATGAGTTAGGACAGTGGCTTTGAGGAGTAGTGAAAGGAGGAGCAAAGGGCTCCTGTGAGCTAGAGCCAGAGTGTGCTACTCTGAAGATAATTAATGGATAAGAGTAAGTCATTTGCCGCCTTTTGGGATTTTTAGGAGGCAGATGAGGACGTTTCCAGAGATACTGTGTTTAGCTTTTACCAATAAAGTCACATTTCAAATCATTTACTGATTTTTAAAAATGGGCTTGGTATGTCTCACAAAGCAAACCAGCTAAAAGCCATTATCATCTTGTGGTTCATATAAAATTTTCAAACAGGTTTCTTGTTTTTGTCCCTGCCTAGCATTATCAGTTTACTGTCATTCTTCATGTAGGAAAAATTTTATAGTTGCTTTTCCTTCTATGGTGAGCTACGTAAACCAGTGTTCTTAGCATTTATCCTGGAAAGTCTTTTCTCCTTCTCACAGTAATTGTCAGTGAACTTAATATTTTCCAGTATCTGCTTTTATTTAAAATGAAGTACCTTGCATCTAGTTCATATCTTGCATATTAATTCTGCTTTCATTAGCATCTCTATCAGTTAGGATTAGAGTTGGCTCTGCATTGCACTGAGTAAAATAACAAGGACTTATTTTCTCCCATAAAAGCCAGACCTGGGTAATTGAATGTTGGACTTGTGCCACTGCTCCACAAAGCTCTCAGGGACCCAACTCCTTCCAGCTCACCTGCCAACACCCGCTGGGGAGTAGTCCTTGTTTTTATGGTTTCAGATGATCCAGCTACCATATCTCCATTCAAACAGCAATAGGCAAAGGTTGAGAAGGGGTGCAAAGGACACCTATAAATTGTCTATAAGGAAAGATTCCTCCAGCCTGTAATGATGTGATGACTCACATCTCATTGACCAGTAGTGAGTCCATAGGACCTACATCCTACATTTGGTTGCAGGATATGTAAGAAGATGTAGCTGAATAATCTATTTATTTGCAAGAAGGTAAGAATGGATATTAGAGGAAATTAAAAGAACAAAAAGGGGAGGCCAAGACAGGTGGGTCACAAGGTCAGGAGTTCGAGACCAGCCTGGCTAACACAGTGAAACCCCATCTCTACAAAAAATACAAAAATTAGCTGGGTGTGGTGGTGGGTGCCTGTAATACCAGCTACTCGGGAGGCTGAGGCAGGAGAATCACTTGCACTCCAGCTGAGTGACAGAGCTAGACTCTGTCAAAAAAAAAAAAAAAAAGAAAGAAAGAACAAAAAGATGAAATATGATGTTTCGAACAGGTAGCCCCATTAGAGAGCCTGAAAGCCTTTGTTTAGATGCATTTTCCCCTGGGTTAACTCCAAATCTTTTTGTGCTTCTAAAAATTAAGGTAATCATTCTGTCCTAAATTCTTCATAGCATTTATGGTTGAGGATCAAATATAATTAATGAACATATCAGCACTTTGAAAATTGTTACACAAATATAAAGTATTATCTTTTAAAGCATTAAAACAATCTGCTGAATATAAACTAAAAAGTATTACTGAGGCAATATGTCAGTTTTTACAGTAGCCTTATGGTAACTTTACCTGACAAACAGAAGAATTAGGTGGTCATGACAAATAGCTCTTCGAGAGGACATGTCTCTGTGAATCACTTTCAGAAACATGACAATGCATTTGGTTCTATCAACTCTGTGCAATAAGGATTATCATGTGCATTTTACAGATAGGAAAACTAAGGCAGAGAAGTTAAATGAATAGCTCAAAGCCATGTAACTTAGTGGAGGGTTTAGAAACTGTGTGTCTGCAAATCTCATACTCATAATCTGTGTTTTTACTCTAGTTTTCATATGGCACACATCTTGTTGCCCATTTGGTAAAGTCTAGATATCTAAGATTAGAGCGACAGGCTCGCAGTTATTTATCCTTATTTTATTTACATGGTGTTCTTTCTCATTTCCCCCCAATATAAATCAGATCCTCCAATCTGCCAGTCCCTTTCTGCATACACACATTACTCTGCAAAACCACCTAACTTCCTGCCTCACTAAAATGTTTTCTGCTCTTGGCTTTCTCAACTTCTGCTTCTTCTTTAAGTGTCAACTCAGGTTCCATTTTCTGTGTAAGGCATTCCATGAATACTTCAGGCCACACAGAGCTTCCATTTTCCTGAACTTCTGTAATATAGAGAATATATATATATAGAATGCATATATTATATTTAATTATAGAAGTAAATTATACACTGTATCATATTATTCCATATGTCTTAGCTTTTTCTCCCCAACTAGACTTTGTCTAGTTCTTGTGTTTCTTAAGTTGTTTCAGTAACACAAGGACACTGGTAAGAATATAGCAAGAAATAAAACCAGTTCAAATCTAAATTGAGCCAACAATTAATCTATGAGAAACTACTTATAGTTTCTTATCTAGTCTCAGTTTTCATGACAAATGTGGAAATGGGTTCAAAGAGGCAAAAAAGACTGATCCGATGTCAACAGCTAAGAATGGAATCCTATTCTACCAAACCTGTGGTCTAAGGCTTGATCCTCTACACCTGTCCATTGAACATTGACTGAAAGCCAAATACTGTGAGAGTGTGTGTCTGCGAGTGTGTGTGTTTAGCTTACTATTGTAGGTTGAGAGAAGCCCAGAAAAATAGAGGCATCCCTGAATAACGGTAGCCCTTGAGTTAATTTATGTATATCTTGTATTAAAAACTAAGAAGACGAGAACCGAGAGGAATTTTATCAATAGAAAAGGTGGATAAGAACTTCTAATGAAGCCAGAATACTGAAATGAACTGCAGAGATATTTTCTTATGCATACAACCATGAGATACTTAATTCATATCCATGTTGCCATCTACAGAACCTAAGTATATGATTGCTTTTCTTCCATATGCAATGTGAATTGTTTCGGGGTGGGGGCAATGTTTTCTGTTTATGCTCATTTTGTGATCTCAAAAGTAACTGAAGTTCTACCAAGGACAGAAATACATTGTTGGAAGAAAAATAGAAGGTTCTCTTAGGTATCTTTTTTTCTGGTCTATGAATTCCATCTCCAAATGGACATATAGACTATTGAGTACTTTGAGTGATGAGCAACTCGAATATGTAAAGACTGCAAGGATGTTCCCATTTCATCTTAGGATGTTGAATTACTTTTGTCAAATTAATTCTTAATGGTTTTGAGTATATATGTGTGTGTGTATATATATGTGTGCATATATATGTGTATATATGTGTGTATATACACATATATACACATACATGTATTTTTCCCACCTGGATATAAATATATAAAATATATCCTTTATAGCTTAAGCTATCTATCAATCATCTATCCATCTGTTTATCTTTCTTTATTTACATGTAAAAAATTGAGATATCAAGAAAAAAGTTTTGTCTGAATGTTATCACCAATAGGTCAGTAATTTTTGCATTCTTCTTCTGTGTTCAATATAACGTTTGGAACAACAAGGAAAAGACTAAAAACAAGAGCTTTGGACTGTTGTAAAGATAATATTTTGTTATTTCTTATGACTACAGGTACATTTTCTCCTGTTGAGAATTTTTCGGTTCATATTATTTGTTAGAAAAAATTACCTTATATTACCCTGTTTGAGGGTAATTTTAAGGATCAGGAATCCTGAAATCTCAGATCCAGTTGGGCCTTTAGAGACCTTCTAATCCAACCCCTTTGTACAGAGTTTATGTAACTTACCTGAAGTTACATAGGTAATTAATGCCGGCGCAGGGTCAAGAAGTCAATTTCCCTCATTTTTAGACCTCTCTTTATTTCTTTCTCTCTCCATTTTTCTACCAAGTTCAATTAATAGGTTTTCATTCTCAAAAGAATTATTATAAGAAAAAAGATTATTTATTCAAAAGGTCACTGATCCTTTCCTCCTTTCTTTTTCTCCCCCCAGCTCTCTTCAATCTAATTCCCGTGGGCCTGCGTGTAGTGGCCATCCAAGGAGTGAAGGCTAGCCTCTATGTGGCCATGAATGGTGAAGGCTATCTCTACAGTTCAGTAAGTACATTGTAGTGTGTATTTGTGTGTATGTGTGTGAACTACCACTGAGAGGTAATGGAGTGACCATCATTTTAGGCAAGAAAATTGGAAGTTGAAGTCATTTTATATTTTGTGATCCCGTTTTTCAGGATTATTTTGAGGTTTTGTAATTTAGAGTGTTAAGGACCATGTCTTGTTGAATGACTATATTGCAGTTACTCTCCATGCAATATAAATTCGTTGTGTCTAGCTTCCATTTCTGCAGAGTATTCTCCTTTTGGAATTTTACCTTTCTGTCTAATTCAAAAAGCAAGACATTTTTCTTTTCTCTTGTTATCTCTCCATTAAGCATAGAGGATGGCTCAGGAAGGAAAATTCTTCAATTTGTCTGGAAATAGTCTCTGTCCTACCATGGAGAAAAAAACTTTCATAATGGATTGTGGCTTTGTTTGTATTTAGTAGGTCTATGTTTTATCTACTGTGTCAGAGTCTCAGAATAACTTTAACTTAAAGGCAATATGAATTTATGGAAAGAGCTCTGGATTATGAGAAAGGATATCTGAGTTTTATTTGCATTTCATGTACTATCTTGATATCCCTTTGGGCAAATTATCTTCCTCTGCTGGCTTAATTTTGGACCTTTCAAATGAGCATGTTGGACACCATGTTGTATCATGTCTTCTTTCAAATCCCAAACTGGCAAAATTAGGTAGCATCAGTGGCTACGTTATCAGCACTGACATATTTTAAAGTGACGAACACAATTCTGATGCTTGTCTCACCCTCAGGATAATAATTTATGTGTTGAGGCTGGGCGCGGTGGCTCACGCGTGTAATCCCAGCACTTTGGGAGGCCGAGGCGGGCGGATCACGAGGTCAGGAGATGGAGACCATCCTGGCTAACACGGTGAAACCCCGTCTCTACGAAAAATACAAAAAAAATTAGCCGGTCGTGGTGGCGGGCGCCTGTAGTCCCAGCTACTCGGGAGGCTGAGGCAGGGAATGACGTGAACCCGGGAGGCGGAGCTTGCAGTGAGCCAAGATCGCGCTACTAAACTCCAGCCTGGGCGACAGAGCAAGACTCCGTCTCAAAATAATAATAATAATTATTATTATTATTATTTATGTGTTGAGAGAATGTGGCTGCACTGAATGGTGTGTGTGTGTGTATTTCCGCTTCCCTGTAAGAGAGTTGGCTATTTGTAGTTCATGAAAAAAATTTCATTGAAAATCATGGTTACAGATTTCCACCCTTACTTTCTATGATCTCAGTAAATAGCACAAGGTTATTTTGGAAGTTCTCGTATGTCTGCTGGATTCTAAATTCGCTATTGACTAGTTTTCATTAGGCTCTTCCAATGTTCAATTAAACAAATCTTTGGTATATGGGAGCTCAGAAATCGATACCCTCAAATATGGTGTTTTTACGTGCTGTACAGAAGCAGCCGCCTCAGAGTCTCTCTGAACTCCCTCTGCCTCCTGTGGCTCAATCCTGTGTCTCCCAAAGCACAGGATGAAGGTGTTCTCTGGAGTTCCCTTATCTGCCTAAGCTCGGACCTGCCAAAGAAGAAAACAATTACCTTTGGTCTCTTCCCGGAGTTTTCATTAACTGAACTCATATCACAGGAAGGAAGACTGAAGTTCATCAATACACCTAGACAGCGTTTTGTCACAAACCGTGGTCTGCTCTGCAGATCCAAAAGACTTCGTCCCAGCTCATTGTATGTTCTTTAAGTTCATTGAACTCCCCCCAAAATCATTTGCTATCGCTATAAAATCGTCCACACCTCCCCATCGCCCTTTCCTCTAAAAAGAAGGGTATTGGCCGGGCGCGGTGGCTCACGCCTGTAATCCCAGCACTTTGGGAGGCCGAGGTGGGCGGATCACGAGGTCAGGAGATCAAGACCATCCTGGCTAACTCGGTGAAACCCCGTCTCTACTACAAATACAAAAAATCAGCCGGGCGCGGTGGCGGCGCCTGTGGTCCCAGCCACTCGGGAGGCTGAGGCAGGAGAATGGCGGGAACCCGGGAGGCGGAGCTTGCAGTGAGCCGAGATCCGGCCACTGCACTCCAGCCTGGGTGACAGAGCCAGACTCCATATATAAAAATTAAAAAATAAATAAATAAATAAATAAAAAGAAGGGTATATAACCATGTATACCACATTTCACATGGTGGGGTGATCACCCTGTGATTCTCCCCAGTGCACGTTAATAAATTGGTATTTCTTTTCTCCTGTTAATCAGCCTTTTGTCCATTGATTTTCACTTAATCTACAGAGGGCGAAGGGAAAATTTTCCTTTGGCTCCAACAGGTACATCATACTTGCTTATTAGTAATACATCTGCCATTTGTATTACAATTATTGAAGTTAATATTTTACTCCTGAAAATATTCAGATCAAAATATACACTTACATGCTATATGTGTACATATACATTTTTTCAAAGTTTCTGCTCAAAATAACACTTAAATACATTTTCAGTCAAAATAATGGACTCTCTTAGTGTGTCACAGCTCTGACAATTGTTAATGTCCAGTTATTGTGAGTCCATTGTAAATGTAAGAATTAAAATAAGAAAAAATTTTGAATATTTCTAGTCTTACTTTAAAGATTTAATCAGTCATTAAATAAGCAGCTAAATGTAGACTGTATTATGTATATTTAAAAGGTCATAGTTCAGGTTATAATTCCACAGAAGCTGTAGAGTTCAGTTTATTAGACTAGAGTTGATCCCCAAAGGTCCATAACAAAGAAAAACACAGAAAGTTTGGCAACAGTATTGTAAGCAGGAGACAATTGTATAAGGGAAGGAGGGAGTTTGGAGGGATTGCTGGGTTGTGGTTTCATTCTCTGAAGCTTTTCAGAGATGCATTCCTTCCCTCTTTCTAGCTTAGAGCTGAGGTTAAGAGGAGGTGGGATCTTGAGCTACAAGAGGGAGTTTCTTTTGTGATGGAGTTTACCTTTGTAAACCTAGTGGGGTATCTAGATTTTCAGTTCTTCTCTCCACTTAAGTCAAACTTGCCTCATACTTACAGTCACAATGCTTTCCCCTGGTGAGTTAAAAATCATCTGTTAACTTTGACTTTCCTGAGATGTTTCTGGTATGCATTAAGGCTAGAATTTCTTTGAAAAGCAATTTTCTATGTCGTGGGCAACACTGTAGTTGGGCAACCAATAAGGATCATAACTGCAGTTTGTTGAGAGAGAGGAGAGGGCTGAGGCCAACTAAGAGAACCTAGATAAGCTTATTTAGAACCCAAAAGATTCACAAGTAGTATCATTTCTCTAGTGTCATTTACGTCATTTACCTGGCTTCTATTTATTTTTAAGCTAGGAATTAATTCACTTGTTACTTTTGATTTCTATTTCTTCACCAGGAAGCAGGAGGAGAGAGTGTCAAAGATGGAGTGACTGTTAGGTCTAAAGCACAGAGCTGTAATTTTAAGAGTTGCTCTGAAATTTTGTGTTTTAATAGGTGAGTTTAATCCATATGTATTTGATGAGATTATTGATGTATCTGGATATGTTTTTACCATAGTAGTTTGTATTTTTCTGAATTTCCTTTTGCTTCTCTTTTCTTCTTAGAAAACATTCTGTTGTTTTATTCACATGATTTTATTTTATTAAATTCTTCTGCAAGTTTGTAACCCTAGACTATATTTTTTATTCCTTTCGTGGTTAGTCTTATTTTTTAAAATCATACATAAATAACGACATACTTTGCTCAATATTTTTGAGTGTTTCTGTCTTCCTTTCCAACAGCTTATGGACATTATGGTGTTTTTTTGCTAGTAAAGACCACAACCTTTCTTGCTGCCAGTTTGATTAGTTGCGCTTTAAAATAAAATCATATGCACAATTAGTTATTTTATAACTAATTATTAAATTAATGAATGTTTTGAATAATTTGTATGCATAGAATTTTTGTTTGTGTGTGTATATCAAATTTGGTCTCTGATTTCACTTTTCTTCTAAACTAAACCTTTGATTGTTTTGTGTGTGAGGGTGTGTGGATGGTGAACTTGCTTTTAGTATCCATGAAAATGTCTTCGTTTCACTTTCATTCTTGAATTGCAGTTCAGGTAGTTATAAAATTCTGAGTAGACCAATATTTTTCTCAGCATTTGGAAAATAATATTACGTTGGTTTCTGGTATCTATTGTTCATTAAGAGAAGTTGCCATCAGTTTCATATTCTTTCCTTTGTAGGTAATCTCTACAGAAACTTTTTTCTGTCCTGAAAAACTAAAATTCTCTATACCAATTGAACAACAGCGCTCTTTCCTCTCTTCCCCCAGCCCCTAGCAAACACCATTTTTTACTTACAGTTACAAGGAGTTTGACTACTTTAGATGTCTCATATAGGTGGAATAATGCAGTATTTGTGCTTTTTGTAACTGGCTTATTTCACTTAGCATAATGTTTTCAACATTCATCTATGTTGTAGAATATGCCAGGATTTCTTTCTTTTTAATGTTTAAAATATTTTAATGTATGTTATGTGCATTCCACATTCTGTTTATCTGTTCATCTATTGATGGACATTTAAGTTACTTTGACCTCTTGGATATGAGATTACTGCTGCAATGAACATGGGTGTACAAATACCTTGTCAAGATCTTGCTGGATTATATGGTAACTCTGTTTTGTTTTGTTTTGAGAAAACACCATACTGTTTTCCCTATCAGCAGCATCATTTTCCATTCCCACCAACAGTGCACCAAAGTTCCAATTTCTTCACATCCTTGCTAAGACTTGATACTTTTTGTTTCTTTTGATAGTAGCCATCCTAACAGGTGTGAGATGATATCTCATTTTGTTTTGATTTGCATTTCTCTAATAACTACTAGTAATGGGCATTTTTTAACATACCTGTTAGTCATTTATAAATCCTCTTGGAGACATGTCTATTCAATTCCTTTGCCTACTTTTTAATTGAGTTGTTTTGTTTTGTTGTTATTGAGTTGTAGGGGTTCTTTATAGATTCTGGCTATTAAGCCCTTACCAGATATAT